GATGGCTGACAGACATCACAATGTTAAGCTGACATCGTGATTCCTTCCCCCCCACCCCCTCTCCCGCAATCCGCCACATCCCAGTTCCGTGTTCAGAAAGGAAATGAAGTGTACTACGGAAACCCTAAAGGGAATAAATAGCCTACGAGATGGGAGGATAAAAAAATATTTCAATACTTTTTCTCGCAATTATATCGTTGGGTAAGTATAGGCGACTGTATATAAATTGCGGGCATCAGGGAGCCGCTATTGAAACCGCTTTCGTTTGCGTGCTCTCATTTTACTTCCACTTTCGAGATTCGCGATCACAAGGACTCTATACTATGGAGCGGCAGTAGTTACCACACATTTGACAAGATTAGATGTTTGTCATTGGTGCTCAGGATCTGCAAATCATTCGCCATCGTCCTATCAGACATTTCTCCTTACTCTGTGCAGGTGGTAAGTGAACTTTCATGTACTGTAATGCAACAGGCTACCACTAGCATGCGGCTAACCTTTTAGTGGCTCCGTATAAGGTGTTATTTGTTTCACACTTCGGGCACACCCCTAACCCCGCCCCCCCCAACCCCCGATGTCATCGTCCATCACGATGTTTCACTGTAGACATCGTCCGATGCCAATTTGGTAGACATCGCCCAACCCAAGCGGAAAAGTGCCATAAGCTGAATGTAATGTAATGGACATGTTACCTGATCCTGCAGGGACATGACCGGATTATTCTTGGTGGTGTTGATGTGGAGAACATGGAAACGGTTCTTTCCGCACAGGTCATATGCAATGTTGGTGAAGGAGGTGCTGGCAGTCTTGGGCACACGGTTATAGATGATGATCAGATCCTCAATCTCAGGCAATGCAGGAGAGTTCCGCAAGCCGTCCCGTGTCCGTCTCTGCAAGCCGTCCCGTGTCTGTCTCTGCTCCACCTCTCGCACCTCGTGTCTGGCCATGGTGCGCTCTGCAGGAGAGAGAAGATGATCATATTTACATCTACAAACATGCATTTATCTTTATTTAATTTTTTATTTGCAAAAACCCTAAAATTATATAAATTCTATTGTACACTTAAATACTTCTGTAGAATTTCTACAGATTTAAAGGGACAGTTCACCCAAAAATTGTCATCATCTACTCACTCTCATGTCTTTCCAAACCTGTATGGCTTAATTTCTTCTGTGGTACTTGTGGAACAGTGGTACTTCTTGTGGTACTATGTTGGTGACCAAGCATTTTTCCTTTCCCATTGACTTCCTATTCACTGAATGGTTACCAACATTCTTCAAAATATCTTCTTTTACGTACGTTCCACAGAAGACTGATGACAGAATTTTCATTTTGGGTGGACTAATCCCTTCAAATACTGTTTACTAGGGGTGTGACGAGATCTCGCGAGATCCGATGTGCGACCAGTCAGATCTCGCGAGAACGTGATGATATCCTCGCGCAGACCTTTTAGATATATTTGCATTACACTGGCTCGTTCACAAGTGGTGGTATGTAAGATATTTTGTCCACATCAGGCAAGTGGCCGCATGATAAGCGGGAAAATTACACAGTGTAGTCTTTATCCAGTCATAAAAAGTTCAAGTTTTCCTTTCTCTTTGGAGTGTTACAAGCTGTTCGTGAATAGATAAGATCCCTGAAGTTGCAAAGACTAAAGTCTCAAAACCAAAGAGATATTCTTTATCAAATTTAAAACTCTGCCACACCCCCCTAAAACGGCTCGTTCTAACATGCCCCCACATATCTGGGTCACTATGTGAGAATATTTGCATAATGCACCCAAATGTGCATGCAAAGAAAGGCATCAAATCACGATATGGACTAGTATCTGTAAATATTAAGCCGCAAAAGTCGATTTAAATATGAATCCTGCATGTTCTGCGTGTCACTGTTAATGAATGGCGCAGACGCGCGGTTTCATTTACTACACACATACTGAAGCACGCCTGAAATTCGCAGTGATTTCAGCGTCTGGCGTCTCACTAAATGAGGACGTAAACCCATGAACAACATCTACAGAACTGCTCTGAGAGTCACTTCATGAGCATTTTAGCGTTTGATTTGAGAAAAACTAGCGTCATATCTCATACACAGAACTGTAAAGGTATTCACGGCAACCCGTCAAAATAAAAGTCCAGTATGATTTGAAGACATCGTGCCTATAACTATTTTTCAGTAGAATGTACACCTATACTACCACTACTACTAAAATGAAACAAACATTATTTTTTTAAGGAATAATCACACAAAACATTTCTTCCATGTTTTAATTTTAATAGTAAATCCCCTTTGTTTGCCAAAAAAATCTTGTTTGTATAATAATTTCAATAATTACAAAAAAAAAGAAAATTTTTCCCTATATATTTCATCATTGAGGATTTCTTTAAAAAAGTCAAAAAATCTCGTCTCGTCTTGTTCTCGTGAACCCAGTCTCATGTCTTGTCTCATCTTTTGGGATAAGTGCCTCGTCACACCCCTACTGTTTACCTAAAGTGACCTAGTGTATATGCACACAGATCTTGAATATGTCATGGTAGACAAAGCCAAAACATGGTTTGGGTCATCCTTGTGCACATTTTTTGGGGTGGGGGAGGGTTGGGGTGGAAAGTATCTGAAACATCTAATTATGCCATGTTATGCCTGATATTTAGAAATAAATTGAGTTCATCTGACCTTAGATTGTAATAAATATGCCATTAGAGCTGCAGAATGTATTTTCTATTTTAAAATACTCCTATAATCATGATGATCAAAGTTTAATTGCAGGGAGAACTGTAGATTATGCAAATCCATCCATCTGCAAATTTAATGCAAGTAGCTGGTGGGAAATGTAGCTGTAAAGTTTAAGTATTTTTCAGAGAGAGAGACTACAACCAATAAATCTGGGGCAGCTAAAGATCTGTTAAGGTTCCCAACAGTCCCTTCAGCCACCTGTTGACTTAGGCGACAGAAAACAGCAGCAGGATGAAAAGGCCTGAATAATGGAGTGAGAGGAGAAAACAAAGCAAGCCGTTTCAGTAGCAGTGTGTGTTCTGCTTTATGTACACACACCCTCACAATCAACACAATAACTTCATGCCAGTAGTAAGATGTCAAGAGAATTGTGCAACATAAAATCCCTCAGCTTTCAGTTTCAATGTACTGGCATGACAAATAATTGTTCATTTATATTGCTATATTACCAAAGAATTTGCAGCTCAGCTGCTTAAAATGGTGCAAAGAAAGTGTAATGGAACATACACAAGTAGAGAAAAATATCAAAAAGACAAAACATGTAGTATACATATAGTAATAATAGTATAAATGTAGTAATTACCCTGCATTTTGAATAATATCAGAAAAAATTGCAACTGAGAACCACTGAGAGAACCACTTGTCTACAAGAGAGAATGGCTTAAAAATTCCACTTTTGAGCTGGTATGCATTTATTCTTATTTCATAGGTTTTTAGTTACATTCTGGAAGCTGCAGAAATTGACGGTGGAGACAATAAGGGACTATACAAGATAATCACAGAGACACTTACAGTTCAAATCACTGTAAGATGAAGGGTTTACAATTTTTTTAATCTAAAACCTAGAATATAGTATTCGTTTCACAGCCCCCCCCCCCCCACACAAAATAATAATAATAAAAAAACATAATTAAATAGAAATCATTTTCAATTAACTGTAATTTCCATATCAGTGTATACCTAAGTATAATTGAAGCATATTTTCTTTACACATATTCATAACTGGAAGTTTTTCACAAAAATGTATTCATATTCATTTCAAATTAAATATTTACAGTTTTGTATTTATACTTTTATGTTTGGCAGCTGTTTCCATTCTTCAAAATCTGCCATGAAAGGGAAGCACATTGCACCTGAAGCTCAATGTGTGCCTTGAGTGAAGAATAGTGGGTCACCAATCAGATACAATGTGAATCATTTTCGGTGTCTTTAAAGTGCTTTTAAAAGACACCAGTGTCTCATAAGGGACCAACACTCAACAAAACAAGATTTCCCTTGCGGTTCATGTGGAGCCAAGAGAGTTCAGGATGAAAACACCAAACGGTATACAGACAACATCCTCTATACACAACAATAAAGCCAATAACTTGTTATCTCTTTACAATGCCATTTCCCATTTTAATAAATGCATACCACATTATTACCATCTGATGCATCACTGTACAGTGTCAGTTATACCACAGTACTTTTTTAGTATGAAAGGAGAACAAAAAAGGAAATAAAACTGGATATTGTGCATTTGCAATTTTACACAATGATAAACAATAAACTTTCATTACATAAAGCCACTTCAATTTGACTTAAATAGGATAATCTCTCCTGAAGTGTAAACAAACTAAATAACAGTGGAATTGTACGCTCTGTGCACTAATAATGGAATTGCAGTGATCCCGAAAACAAAAGACAAGCTAAAAAATAATGAAATGTCTCCCAAGTCATCACGCTGTATCATATGCTCATTTTCCACACAGCAATTACACAAAACTCAGTTTGCTAATAGACTCAGTCTTCAACAGAGCACGCCTACCAGTGTATAAAATAAGCCACTTAAAATATTGATAAAGTCTTAACAAGCTTCCATGCATCAGCTGTGCTGCTCTAAAGCATCCTCCACCGCAGAGGACCCTAACCACACTCAGCCTGACATCTCATCTACATCCCATCTACTCAGTCTGACATCCCATCTAACTAGGACACTATCCCAAATCAACATAGCTGTCTACACTGTGATTGACAAAACTAGAATGCTCCCCTAACACGTATCCTCACCAGCAACAACACTACATTTTGTTGGACGCTTGTTTGGTTTTTTATTTCTGAGAATCATACCACAGCCCTGACCACATTGAAAGCAGCCTAAAAATGTTAAAGGGGTCATATGATGCGATTTCAAGTTTTCCTTTCTCTTTGGAGTGTTACAAGCTCTTGGTGCATAAAGAAGATCTGTAAAGTTGCAAAGACTAAAGTCTCAAATCCAAAGAGATATTCTTTATACAAGTTAAGAGTCAACCACGCCTACCTAAAACGGCTCGTTCTAACACGCCCCCACATGTCTACGTCACTATGTGGAGATATTAGCATAATGCCGCCCAAATGTGCACGCAAAGAAAGAAGCCGTGGTTTCAGGAACAACAGTAGTGTTGATGCAGCCATGTCAGGGAGACGCTGTGTGTTTCAGTGCAAAAGCAAAAGCACTTTATTTGGCCTTCCGGAAGATACAATTAGGAATCATTGGTTAAGATTTATTTACAACAGAACAGCACAGCCCAGATGTTCGAATTCATGCAACGCATTTTATGGACGACAGTTTTTTGAACCTAGAATAGTTCAAAGACAAGGCTGCCTGTGCACAAAGGCTATTTCTAAAAAAAAAAAAGGGTAAATTCCGACTTTGCTATGACAATCTGGCGCTTCCCCTAATTTGCTGATTACTAATAGTTAGTAAGGTAGTTGTTAAGTTTAGGTATGGGGTGGATTAAGGGATCTAAAATACGGTCATGCAGAATAAGGCATGCTAATAAGCAACAAATGAATAGCTAAAATTTGATCCTTAAAGTAAAGTGTTACCGATTTTTTTTAAAGAAATGAATACTATTATTTAGCAAGAATACATGAATTTGATTAAAAATGACATTAAATAATTAAATATAATTTTACAAAAGATTTCCATGTTATATGCTGTTCTTTTGAACTTTCTATTCATCAAAGACTCATGGAAAACAAAAGAAAGGGACGTAAAGTACCATGTGACACTGAAGACTGCAGTAAAGGCAGCTGAATATTCAGCTTTACCATCACAGGAATTTATTAAATTTTTTTAAGTTATCTATAATAGAAAAAAAGTTATTTTAGAGTATTCATTTCACAATATTATTGTTTACAATGTTAACTGTTTAAAATAATATATACATGTATATTAAACATTAAACGTGAACAAAAAGT